TTATTAGATTTCAAATGTATTTTTATACAGTGAAATGTTGGAAACATAAATTGGAGGGGGGGGGGGGGGGGGGCTTCAAATAGTCTTTGAAAGCAAGACTCCACTGTGACATTAAAAGAAGAAGATTGGACCCTGGGAAAAGCCTAAATCTGCTTGACTGTTTATCACAAGCAGCTTATGGATGTATAAATACCAAGAGAGTGAAAACAAATCTACATGTAGTCTTGGGCTACAATATTCTAAACCTCAAACTACGATTAATAAAGGTTGTGGCTGCAAAACTATAGCCACAAATTGCACAGGGAATTCACAATGCATGAGGGTCTATCAAAAGAATCATAAATGATATTTTGATGGGGTGTTGATATGAAAATGGCACGGGATCTGTTATCGTCGGTGGATCAGAATTTGATTTGTTTCATCGGGCGCGATAGAAGCTGGCTGGCTTGCGAGCTAGGGTTCGTGTGACCTACTCACGTCATAGATGATTGTCGTTGGATGATATCAAACTAATTACTGATTACATCAACAGTCAAGCGCAAATCAATTTCAGGGTATCGTCCTGCTCAACGTGCTTCAAACACAGCGGTATTGGCATTGTTCAATGTAAACAACAATGATATTAGAAAGCTTACAGGCCTTTCTCTCATTACTATGGTTACCGAAAATGATAGAGAACAAAATTCTGATTTCTTCTCCTTCCACTGCAAAATAATTTACAATTCATCTATGGCTGTATAACCATATATATGTATTCATCTGTTACACTTTCCACCTATCTTTCTCTCTCTTTCTAATTTCCCTTTAATATTTATTTGTTTTAATTGACATATTTGTTTAACGTCTGGACTTATAGTAACCTTTGTCTTTTTTCCTCTCTCCTTCTCCCTCAGTATCTATCCCATCTTAAACTTCTTTCCTACATGTACGACTAAATATTTGAAAATTTACAATGCATGTTTTGTTCTAATATATTTGTAAAAGTAGATTAATAAACAATTCAAGCACAGGAGGAGACTTTCCTGTTACGTGGCGACTTGAATGCATGTAATTGAAAGAATGCATGGATGGCCAGTTGGCTTGTAGTGCTAGGCGGGAGACCCGATGATGGCGGCGACAGCCATCACGACAGACAGAAGGAAGCTAGACCAAGATGGATCTTATAGACCAAGGTCAGCTCCGCTCCAATATCAATATCACAATTGCTACATGGCCGTCTCAACATGTATTGATCCTCACAGATTTCGTGAAAGGAGATTAGTTGGCCGGGATGCCGTCTTGTCTCTGACGGCAGACCCTTTTCGTCAGCGACGTTCCACAGAGATGGGTCTCCATCCCAGACAAAAACTACCAAAGAGTCGTTGAAAACCGAGAAATGGGTGCACATGTTTATGGAAGGATGCTGCAACTACGATCGGTGTAAACGATGATTTGTCATGAGATGCGGAAGAGATGTATAGATGGGGTAAGGGGTAAATGGTTTGCCAGGGATAAACTACGGGCTATAAGGCGGCCGAGGACAGGTCAGGATACGTATATGAGAAGAGTTTTTTAATTGGATTTGTTGGGTATGATGGGGTGGGGGTTGGGGAGACAGGAGGGAGCCACAGCCAGGCAGGAGTCAGTCAGCATGTGCTGGCATACACATGCTGACCAGCAGTCAAACAGAGGCTGCTAGCTCAGAGGAAATGTGGGAGAGGATGAGAGGGCAGAAAAGTAGGGGAAGAGAAGAGGAGGAGGGGAGAGAGAAGGGGGAGGGGAGGGGAGAGAGAAAGGGAAGAGAGAGAGAGAGAGAGAGAGAGAGAGAGAGAGAGAGAAATGAAAGAGAGAAGAGGAGAGAAAGAAGAGAAAAATAAGTGAGAGACCGATTAAGAGACAGAGAAGAAAAATAAGACAGGCAGAGATGGAGGAGAATAGGGGAGAATAGGAGAGAAAGGAGGGAAAAGAGATGAGAAATCGAGTTTATGATAAGAGGAAGAGAAAACAATAAGAGAGGGAAAACAATATGACTATGACAGAGTGAAAGCGAAAGAGACAAGAGAGAGAGAGAGAGAGAGAGAGAGAGAGAGAGAGAGAGAGAGAGAGAAAAAAAAAAGACAGAAAGGCAGGGAGGGAGAAAAAAGTAGAAAAGGCCTACGGTATCTAATGTGTATTCTAATGTGTACAATACTCTAACTTCTAAGCAGAGAATTGCATATGTATGAACAAGCCGAGAGAGAGAATAACATAAGTAACATGAGCTACAGGGAATTACATAAAGGCTGAGAATGAAAGAGATAGTGCGGTTTGCGATTCAGCAACGGGGAGTGTCTGACTTTGGTCGCAACCTTGACTGTGACTGGCTTTTTTTGTAGCAGTCCATCAATGAAAACAGAGCAGGAGACAGGCTGGCAGCCCAAGAGCATTAACAGTCTATACCCTGGTAATAAAGCCAGGATGAGTAGCAAGCCGAGCTCAATGTAAGACGCACATTAGAAGCAGAGAAATATAAAAGCCCTACATGTACATGATGAACTCCAAAATAAAATCTTTTACTGTAAGCCGTTTTGATTTAAGTATTGAAAAGGTTAATACACAGCACTGTAACTAATTCAGTCATTAGCTTTTTGTTTGTTTTTATTCCTGTAACAATTTTATCAAGTGAATTTGTTATTGTTAGTTTTAATAGATTAGCATCCAACTTAAAAGTACATGGTAAATGATTAATAAGTGTAAGTATTGTGAATACTATATACATGTAGGCCTAAATATGGCAATTTTGAGTGGATCTAGATGTCTACAAGCAGGACTACACAATAACACTGTTCTTCGATGGTGTTTGTTCTTTAAGTTTTCGGTTGTTCATTTTCAATTTCCTTCCATGATTCTCAACTTGCAGAATGATTTCAAAATAACAAAATAGACTGAAAACTATAGGCCTATTTTTATAAGGAAAGAATGTAATGGTTGACAGATGTACAATGCAGAGAATGATCATGCAAATTCAAGGCAATTAAGTTGGAACAAAGAAACGAGCAAGAGATAGCTGTGGTCCCATTCCGCTGATTGATTACAGACAAGAAGGGCAATGGCAAATCAACTACAAATTCAGGGTGACCAGAGCTATATATATAAAGTATAGAGACAGCCTGCATCTTCCTGTCTGTTTTCCATCACAACTTGCGGAAGGCAATCGGGATCATGATCATAGAGTCAGCAACAACAACAACAACAGAGGCAATGGAGGCCAGTCAATGGAAGCCAGGCAATGGAGAAGGCAATGGAGAAGGTATATGTGTAGCAGGATGGGGTTGGACAGAAGGATGTGTGTCTCGATCCACACATTCCCCTCCACACAGCAGGTATAAACAGAAACCTCAGGGTTCAGGGGTCAAAGGTCCCACAGGGTCGTGTGGATCACAAGCAAGGACCAGCCCTGTCTGTCCTGCGACCTTGGTTGGATGCACTTTCTCTGGAATGACCAGGTAAGTCAGTGACCCAATCTAAGGTCATCTCTCTGGCTCTCTTGCCCTCTCACACACACAGTCACACGCAGGTGGAAATCTCAATTAGCACCGTGTGCAATAAGCCTATTACTGTGGAACTATAGGAGCACTGGAAAAAAGGTCGTTGGGGTAGGTATGACCTCCACTGCTGCTTCAGTCAGTGCTGACCGTGTCCTGGCCTTGAGTAGGTCTGCTGTGCTACAAAGGTTAATGATGCAGTATATCAGTTATTCATACTATTCCCAGGTGGATAGATCAATCATCATCAGTCACCAATCAGGCAAGAGATGTTCCTCAAGAGCACTTTATAGCACCAGGTAGAAGCTTAGGGTCCATTCATACCACTCCATATAATAGGCACTCATCTATCACAAAGAGGGACTTTATGTGTGTAGCCTAACTACAAGCATGTATCAGTCTTTGAGTAATAGGCACAATAAATCGGTTTATTTGTTATTGTGCCGAGAATGGGAAGTTTAAGTAGAGTACTAAAAACAAGGTAAAGACATGTTGAAGTATCATGATCACTTGTACAAAAAAAAAAAAATTCTCTTTCTTTCTCTCTCTCTCTCTCTCTCTCTATTCCTCTCTCCTCCCCTTCATTCCTTTCTCGTTCTCAAATAATATATATACCTTGTTAATTGAATTGTGAATGGAGTAGGCCTATTTTGTATGGCCTCTATTAAAATCAAAAAAGCTATCTTAGAACTAGGCCTAAGTGACATGGATATTTCAATTACTAATCTGCATTATAAATACAGGTTGGAAATTATTCCGACACTCGCAGAGTGGAATACCTCAACTCAATAGCCCTGCATGGCCTATTGAGCAAGAACTTTTAAAAAATGGTTGAGTTACATCAACCTGGATATATCAATTATCACTATATGTATAGACACCAAGGTTGATGTGGAAGGTCGATGTGGCAGGGTAATTTGACATGTCCATTTCAAATCTTATCACAAAATAAGGCAAGTTTTTAAAGTCCATTCTGTTGATTTACATATGGACAGAGTGGTACAGGGGTCAACCCCCCCCCCCCCCCCCCGTGTTATTTAGGGTACGCATATACGTGTTCCCTCCCTTTGAAGGCACCCCCTATCTCCAGGGTGTAAAGTCATTACAGACCAGACTTTGTTGCGTAAAAAGTTCCCCTTTACCGGTGATTTTGGGAACACCAATGCGGTCTCTCGGACCCCAGAGTGGGATGGGAGGGGGTGGGGGTCCTAAAAATAGGGTGCGTTTTATACACAGAGATTTACGGTACCCTTTTTTTCCTGTCTGTGGTGATTTCTTGTCTTCCAGGAATATGACAATTATACTTTCTTTATTTTGGGATTTGTATGTGTCTAGTGACTCTTTGTCTTCCAATATTAATTCTTAATTAATCCCCTTTGGTGCTATCAGCACCACAAGCAAATAAATCATTGTATTAGCTTCTGGTTTATATAGGAGTTTCTGTACAAGTATTTGATTATTCTTGTTACTAAGCAACAACTGGATGCAGCAGCTTACCTTCTTCTTGTCTACTTCATGAGTGCCTCTCTGTATTACTGTCTCTACATGGGCTGGATCAGAGAAGGTGACGAAGCCAAAACCCCTGTATCAAGATAAACATGAAGAGGTCAAAGGTTAATCATTGAACTTAATTATCACTTCACTTTATCATTTATTTTGTTATTATTAGTACCTAGTATATTCATCATTTTTAGATAATTTTTACTTTTACTTTCTCTTATGTGGTAGGATCAGTGAAAATAAAACAAAGCCAAAACCACTGCAAATGAAGACAAAAATAGGGGGCAAAGGTTAAATGATTTAGACTTCAATAAATGGGAACAAAGGAGTTTATTAATTTCTTTTATTGGCGAACAGAGTCCTACTTGTAAACTATGAAATGAGTGCTTGTATCTTTGACTACGCGTACCTGTACTAATCTAATCAACGTTCTCCCGACTCACTGTACATCGTACATCTCAACAAAAAAAGAGAAAAGGAAAAATAAACTAAAAAAGATGTCATGATCTTTTACCAAAAACCTTTTGAATGAATCCTGATATATATCATTGGCAGTTCTCAAGCTGTAATTGTGTATGTGTAATAATGTTATTCTTGTAAAACCAGGCTATGAAATATTCCCCTTTTTTCAATTTCTATACACACTATCAAATCTCATCACAAAGGTAAGTCTGATAAGACACTCTTGGTAAGCAGACGAGATGACGTCTTCATAATCCACTATCAAATTCAGTAGTGATATATAGCAGCTATTATGCTCATTAATAAAACAGAGGCAAAAGTGAGTAAGAGAAATGCACGCCACAGGAAATAAATTTTATCCAGGTCACTGCATTCGATTTAAAAATGCTGCACAAATGCACAATCTTTATTCACACGTTCTCATCTGTGCTCGTCCCTCTCCCTTCTCCGTGTCTCCCTCTCTCTCTCTCCCTAATATCTTCTCCCTATCCCCCTCTCTATCTTTCTCTCTCTTTCACTCTCTCTCTCTCTCCCTCTCCCTTGTCATCTCCCCCTTCTCTCTCTCTGTTTCCTCTCACTCATCTGTCGAGTAAACAGACAATGAACAATCATTCTCACACACTATTCAACCACAAATGCTGGTCAAAACCATTAGAACTGCAATGAATGCAGATGAAAATTCATTAACCATTGCCATCATCCATGGCTAGTGATGGGTGTGTGGGAGGGATAGGGAGAGAGGGAGGGAGAGGGGGGAAAGAGAGCGATGGCAAAGGGGCCCTGAGGCTTCGGGCAAAGTGCAGATGTGAGATATAATTAATGTGATATATTATGCTGCCGATGAAATATAATCTTCTTCTTGGATAGCCCTCGGGTCGGTTTGATGAATCATGCTGGAGCGAGAGACCGTCAGCCCAGGGATGTACTATTGTGGGTGGGTGGGTGGGTAGGTGTAACAGCAGCTCCTGCCTGGGTTTCCCCCTACCACATCTTCCGTTATCTCCCACTTCCCATCCCTCTCTTTCTCTCTCTCTCTCATGCACAACACATACTCTCCACCTCCCCCCCCCCCCCCCCCCCCCCACTCTCATCACTAGCAATGGAGATAGAGAGGGAGAGGACTCTTCTAAAATCTCCCTGGGTTACTACCAACATGTACCATGTATTCCATAATTCCCATTCCCTTCCATTTATCTCTCTAGTCACCCCCCCCCCTCCCCCCCCCCCCCCCACTCCGATTCCAGATCCCTCTCCCCCTCAAAAACACACACTTTGAAACCTCTCATCTACAGCTACACTCTACCGGTACTTATGCCAGGCTAATATGAATTACATATTGGGATGAATGAGATAAATTCCCTCTACATGGGTCACCACCAGTGTACTTTCTACCTTCAAGGATGTGTCCCAACACACCGTGAAGAAGGTCACGGAGGGGGCATGCAACCTTGCCGCACTCCATCCTATTAATTTATGCGTGGTTTCAATATTAAAGGAATTGCATGGCTACACAAGAACAAAGACGACAAAGTGCTGTGGTCAACTACTTACTATTCAAATCTGATATGATCTAATATTAGTTTTTCTGATCTATTTATAAAATGTACAATCTCAAACGCGGTGAAAGGTCGTAGAAGAGTTGAATTAATATTATTGCCTTGCTATGGAGTTATCAGGACTCTTATGAATGTGAGTAAAGAAGTTGAAGGCATTGCGCAGGAGAAAGCAGGCTCCATTTATTTGCGGGCAGAAATGCTCTGATTTGCCTTGAGATTGATTTTTTTGTTGTAATTCGTCTCAGCTTATTTGCATTTCAAAATGTCACGACTGGACCTAGTTTCCATGTTCTTTGTATCTGCCATAATACCACTGCTCTCCTGATGCCTACATGTCTTTTGTTGTACAATAGCAGATCAATTTCAATTTGTTTGTTGGAACTTGGGAGCCAGCGTAAAATGATTTCATGTAAAGCTTTATGTAAAAGTATGATATAATGGTTACCTCTCTGTTTCCTTGGCAGACTACTTTTTTTCTTATTTCTAATTTCAAAAATGTTCTCCTCCCATCTTCCTGCCCCCCCCCCCTTCCTCCTTCTCTCTCTCTCTCTTTCTGACTTTTTGCATGTTTATGAGCTTGTCCATGAATATCTCCATACAGCTCATATCCTTCTTACTTCTCCTTAACTATTTTCATTCCATCACTTTCCATCAAACACACAAAACACTGGACTTCTTTACATTTCTCACCATCCATCCATCCCATTCAGCATCCTAAAAGTTTCCCAATCGAGCTAGGGGGCCCCCTGAAAGTGCATGTAAACCTGGTCCGAATGAAGCTGTAACCTTTTCACTCAAATGAAGCGGTGTCAAGTGTTGCCCCCATTTGGGCATGAGATGAGAGTACTGAATGCAATTAATCGGGATTCACTTCAAAGTCTTGCCTTTTTATTCACACGCAGCCTAAAACTTCCATTCAATCTCGAGCTACGATTCCTTCTTGGGGATTAAACCTCTCTATGGCATTATGACAACATCATATGTAAATTATTAGGAGTCTCTGGCAAGAGCCAGATGGGCCTTAAATCATATTCACATATTTAAGCATAGACTTAACGCCCTTTTAGCTCTCAAGAAGTGTTAAGCAGCATTACCAACAAAGTTTAGCGATACAAATCGATACAATTTTCAGGTTATGGCTTGACAAAAAGCCAGTTTGGTGCACAATGGAAACCAAATTTTTGATAGAAATATAACTTCATGCAAATGCAAAAACATCATATTTCATGTGCATTTCACGATGTTTTCTACCTGCTAACTAACAAAATTAAGTATTTACTAGCCCAGTGAAAGTGATAAAAATTTAACGTTAGCTTCACATTGTTAATTAATGCCTGAAAATATCACACAAAATGTTTATACTGGAATATAAACAGAAATACATGTTAAATCAAATACATGTATGAAACCCAATTCAGGGCTTTATTTTGGATCAAAACAATCTCTTTTTTCTCTTGCCATTCTCTTTTGTGGGAACCATTTTTTCTGAGATAATAATGGTCCTTGTATCGCCATTACCGGGTACATTAAACATACACAAATAGTTTTCAAATTGTGCAAATAACAAAACACTCATAATGCAAAAACACTCATAATGCAAATACATGCTCCTATATTTTTAACATCTGTTAACAAAGCCATAAGGGCCCCAATTGTGCAAATCAAAACACGGTACCAGAACTTCGGCTAAAAATAAAATATCAATAAAGGGAAATCTTTTCAATTTGTAACAGTTAGAGACAACCTTGGATAAAAGAACAATCGATATTGATTTCTTGTTGCTTTCACCAGCATGAAGAAAATCCCTAGTGCATATCAGGGGGCTTTCACGCAGTGCATGATAATGCATCAGTCAAAAGACCCTTTTACACAGCCCAAATTCCAATATGAAAAATCATTGATTTTTTCGATTTTTTGAATCATTCTCGATGTTTTGAGAGCCGGCATTTACACTGCAAAAATCTGAAAAATTTCTGCCGCCATTTAAAAACCACACTCCAGAGGTAGATTTGTTTAAATTCAGTTTTCTGTCGTGTTTGCCAGTTGTGAGCAAACTCTATGATTTTTGCCTACGGTGTAAATGAAGCTGTAGTTGATGCCCAGTTCTATCAGAATCCCATGTTCTTCAAATTGCTGCATCTTGCGATACTTCACCAGATCATTGATTTGAATTGCAAGAGGTAAGGTGTACTATCCATCTTGTTCCCCCTTCTCTTGCTCTTCATCTCCTCGTCTTTCAGTCTCTTTCTCCCAATCCCCTCTCCCTATGCCCCTTACCTCCCCCCCCCCCCCTCTCTCTCTCTCTCTCTCTCTCTCTCTCACTTGCCTGGCTCAGCTCTTCCTCCTTTCTTTTCTTTTCTTTCTCCCTTACCTTCTCTCCCTCCCTACCTACATCTATTTTCTCCTCCCCATCTCCTCTCCTCTCTCTCTCTCTCCAGTGCTCTCCCCCCTTAAAAAAAATCTTTCTCTCTCTCCCCCTCTCACTCTATCCACATCTCTCCCCCATCTCTGTCTCTTTGCTCCTCTCTTTCTCTCTCATCTTCTATCAGGGACAGCAGATCTCATAAACAGGCAAACTCTAGTGCAGATGTACACATAGTCTCCATGACAGTCTTCACCATTTATTTCAACCATAGAAATCACAAACAGAATCAGACAAAATATCACCAAACAAGAAAAGTGTTTCTTCATGAATCTTACAATGAATTAAAAACTTGTATGCCTAGTTATATTCTCTAATTCCTTGGTTCTGGTTCTTGCCATGTGTTACAAAGAACAAAAGGCTAAGAAGCAATACCGAGAGTGACTGACCATGCATAATGGATCAGACATCAAGCCAGCCTTGGATTAAGGCTAGCACCTAGTATGCACTAGGATCAAACAAGAAATCCTTGATTTGAGGCTAACACCCAACCAAGCTTTATAGAACACTGGCCTGCTTGTTGGAAGAGTACGGAGAGAAAATACAGAGTAGGACCCCGGCTGACAGCTCGATGATAATCACTTTCACACGTGTAAATGTATATGAGTACAAGGAACTCTGATGCATGCATGTATCCATGTA